TTTTTGTTTTCTTTTGGTTTATTCTCATTCCTGCCATATCACCAAAGTTTTTCAACGTCGCCATCAGGTCTTCTATTGAATGCACTGGATCTTCCAGTATAATGACTAAGTCGTCTGCAAAAACCTGAAGTTTATAGATTTGGCCTTTTACTTTCAATCCTTTCAATTCCTTTTTATCTTTGATTTGTTCAGTTAATATTTCTAAAGTCAAGATAATTAGTAGTGGAGAGAGTGGACACCCCTGTCTGGTACCTTTCTGTATTTGTATTTCTTTCGACAGCTCGCTGTTAATTCTCACTTTTGCCTTTTATTGGGTATATATTGCTTACTTTTGGACTTTTTGTCATAAAGGAAGTGGCACTACAAGCACTGTGTGATACCATCATCCTCTGACAACTCTTGTCATTGTCCAGGGAGAAAGATACCTTATTTTAAATCTCAGCTTGAGAAAGAAATATTTGAAATCAGCCCCATGTAGGGGTGGTGTACTATCCTGTTTCTGTGGTCCGCCAGTCGCGGTGGCTGGCATCTTCAGAGGACAGGAGCCAGAACTCTTTCTGTGTTCTAGCTCCTGTTCTCTGAAGATGCCGGCCACAGAGACTGGGAAAAAGTTAGGAAGAAAAACCTTCAGAATATGGCCAAAAAGCCCAAAAAACCTACAACAACCATTGGATCCCAGTCATGAATGCCTTCGAGAAAACAGGGATTGTTGGTTGAGGGCAAAGGTGCCTCCTCATTAGCCTCTTCCATGGAAACATGGTTCACCTGCTTCCCAGCTCAGGGTTTTTGAGGGAGGCAAGAGGTTCTCCTGACCAACTGCTCTCAGTGCTGCTGCTGGAAGGGAAAGATCCTGCAAGGAGACTTTTCACCACCACCATCCATTTCAGAGAAAGTAAATAAACTGCTTGTGCGCTTTCTCCACTTGCTGCTCCATGGCTTTCTTCTTCACTGTAGCAGAATCCAAAAGATGATGTCATCCCTGCCTGTCAATCAGAGGATAGGGCAGGTGGGGCAGAGCTAAAAGGACAGTTAAGACAACTGGAAGAGACAGTTAGGGACAGTTGGAATGAGGTAGGGATAGAGAGAGTCAGGGACCAAAAGATGTTGATAAAGTGTTAGGGTTTAGGAATAGATAAAAAGGGGTTCAGAAAAGAAACTGAAAGATTAAAACACACATGTAACAGGCAGGAATGAAC